GTAGGTAGGAATGTGTGTCCCCTGGAGCTTCTAGGACATTTGTCTGCCACTGATGACATGGGTGAGCAAATTAGGAGCAACTGGTCTGACCAAGACTGTCTCTGCATTCGTATAGTCAGGGCGGGCTATGTGTGTCTGGTTGCAGGTTGGCATGAGTTGCTTCTAGATCATTCTTACATGGCTTTGAAATGGGTGAAAGATGGTGGTCATCTCTTGTTCTAATGTCAGGACTTCTGAGTGTGTCTGGTGGCTGCACTCGATTCTATAATTAGGAATCTAAAAATTTTGGTGTGATGGTCAGTGTATCAGGAAACATTAAATGGGAGCTGTCCTTGTGTTTGGATCTATGTCAAATGCCTTTACATAGACACCTAAGTCACAAAAGTAGAGAATATCCTTGAGGGAAGAAACATTCTTGTGTTCATGCTCACTATCTCAGTTCCATTAGAGCTGCAAGCCTAGAGTCTGGTAAGATGAAAGGATGGCACTATGTAATGATTATGGATGCTGTAATGTTATGCCATGAAAACCTGTGCTGAGCACACTCCAGTGGACCAGAGAATGGAACTGAGTCCACGTTCTAGTGTTCGAGGACTGGCATGTATCCAGCATAACGCAGACCTATTTGGACAATATTATCAGTATCATCAGAAACTATTCATGTTTGTTAGCTAACCATAGTTGAAAGGGGAAAAGGCATCCATTACTATGGCAAATTCCCCTAATGTCCAAGATCAATAACTCAATTTTGTCTGCCATTTTACTAACACAGAAACAGCAAGTTAATTCATTTTATCTAACATTGGTATACCCCACCTTAAATTTTGGCAAAGAAAATGCAACACTTTCGTAGAAGTCTTACTAGATGCATGTTACACATATATATGTGTGAACTTATCACTCCCCAGTAACTATAGCCACTACAGCCAGCGAGCTCCTATCATTTCCTGTCTGGCCACCTTATGGCCTATAATATTTATTTTGCTCTTTTTTTTTATATATAATGATAAATTCAAATATAATTATTTCCTAAATATTTTATTAACACGTTTTGGAATTTATCTTCTTAATTAGATATTATGGATGCATAAGACACATTAGGGGCCAGGAAGTGGCATGGTGGTTAAGGCAGCTGGATTCCCACATGGCTGACTGTGTTTTGAGTCTCAGACGAGGTGGCTTGAAAGTCACAGCATACACATGTGCATGCATGTGTGCTCAACATCCAGAGAGGAGAATGGAAATGGAATTGCAGCATGGCCATTCCTCCTGAGGGTGTGTGTGTGATTCTTACTCTATCTCTCTCTGGCGAGTGCATGTGCCCTATGGTAAAAACCTAAAATAAGTAAATAAATAAATAAATGAATAATAACAAAATAAAAGAAAACAAAACAAGTTGACAAGTAAAAAAAAAAAAAGATATTAAGCCCCTTGAGAGTTAAATAGCACACATCTGCTATGGTTCCCATTGCTGATCCGTTTCACTAATCTTTTACTGAGTGTATTCTATATATTTGTACTGGGCTGCAAGTATAGTCTGCCCTCCAGGGGCTTACTTTGATTGACAGTAGGGCCCACACAATGTGATAAGGATCCTGTTTTGTTTTCTTAATTGCTAGGGGATGTGCACTGACCTGAGAGAAATAAAGAGACAGAGAGAGGGAAAAAGCACTTCCTAATGAGGTATGGTCACACCATAATTGCTTCTCTGTTTCTTCATCCTGTTTGGATTTAGGGCATGTCTGACATGCTTCTCAAAATGCTGGGGCTGAGATTTGAACCATGCAGTCAGCCAACTGGGATCTGGCTCCCTTTCACTACTAAGCTGGAGGGCCAACCCTTGATCCTGTATTATATTCAAAAAGTAAACAAAAATCAATCAAAAGTTAAAATGAAGGATCTAGTCGTTAATTTATAATGCAGTGGAGAAAATAATCAATTTACTCAATTTAATGTGTAGCACTTTCACAGACACATGTGATATGCAAAGCAGGACACATTTAAATTAAAAATCATTCTCTTCCACTAATACATAAACTCCAATGGGGAAAAGATAATACTTGCAAGCAAGCAAACCATCCACATATGTATTAGTGTTTAATCCAGCAGTGGGATGTAAAATAAATTTTTAAATCATGATTTAGAAGCTGAAAATAACACATTAATCTTCATTCAATACTCATCCTACAAATGTGGTTTCATAAAGAGTTCTCAGCATCTAGTGTATTTTTCATTTTCTAATCTCAATTGATCTCAGCTAATAAGGAGGCTGTTGTTCAAAAGAATGATCTTGTTCAGGATGATTTACCATGGTTAAGATGGCAAAGAAAATTAGGAATTTATAGATCTGCTCAAAAGACCTAGATGTCAGCCTAATTGATACATTTTGGCCACCCCTTGAAATTACATCCATTTTTAGAATGCCACACGCACTCGCTAAAGCAACCGAAGAAAAATTACCCTTTAAACATACTGCAGAATCATCATCAAAGAGTTATTTATTAAGCAGTTCAACAAGCATGTACACATTCTTTTCACCCAGTTTTTTCTATTTCTCAGATCAAATATTCACTGTAGATAATATTCGATCACGATAATGAGTACAGAAGCAGTCATTATGGAAAAAATACTAATTTTGCAAAAATAAGTTTGTCTTCATTTTTAATGAAGATACATAATACCTGTGACTGAGTTTTGCCTGTGTAACTCTTTATCAATGTTTCTCATATACCTTTGTCATTCCTGATCAGAAAGCTAAGAGACCTAAGATTGCCCAGGCAGTGGTGCAGGCTGTAGTATTCAGATCTGCAGTGCTGGAAGCAGGATGGCTGGTTTGGATCCTGAGCTGACCTGAAGTGTGCCATGCACCAGCACACAGGTCCAAGACTAGCTGGAGGGCTAGGGAAAAGGGACTGCTGTGTGACAAGACTCTGAGAGGGTGCCACTCTCTGATACATGACATCTCTCCCATGAAATAACTAAAATTAAAATAAACAAGACCTAAGATTGATCAGGTTTGACTACAAAATATTTCCTACACCAGCCATTTCATGGATATAAAATGAGGGGCAGCCCTCCACCTTAATGTCATCCTTCCAGCATAATCTACTCAAAGTTGATTATTACACCTGTCTACCTCCGGAAATCCATTTTACCTGAATGCAATCACATGAGAGTTGTACCTAATGGAGAAACATATTCTCCCCAACCCTGCTCCTCTCCTAACTTGAGGTTTCCTTTGGCTCAGGCCAAAAACCTTGGGGTCATCCTTGACTCACTTCCAGTCCATCGGCAGATCCCACGGATTCTCACTATGACAGAAACTTGACCACTTAGAACCACGCACACTGCTAATCCCGGCTTCGAGCCTCTGTCATCTCTCATCTAACTTATCTCGGTAGACTTCTAACTGATCTTCGGTAAAGTCCTTGCCCTTATTACACGGTATACACAGCAGCCACCGTGAGCCTTACCTCCAGGGACGTCCCATCTCACTCTAATTTTATACAAGCCAAGGTTGGCAGAGGGGTTTGGTCTTCCATGAGAGGACCATCTTTTTATTTGGTGACTGTGGCTCTTCTCGGGGGCGGAAGTAGCTGGTTAATCAGGAGAAGCGACCTAAAACTTTGGCGCTGGGTAAAAGAAAATGGCCAGAGCAGACTGCTTATAGGTCCACTGGTGGAAAAGCCCCTTGCATATAGCCGGCTACTAAAGCACCCCCTCTACTGGCGGGGCGAAGGAACTGCATTGCTACAGGCCCCCGGGTGCCCTGGGAGACTTGGTCCTTATCGGAAATCCAATGATCATTGCATCAGAGAGCGCCCAGGATTTCAGCGCCCACTTGGTGGTTTCACAGCGCCGCCGCTGGTGCGCTTGGGCAGGCTAGTGAAGCGTATGGTGGGTTTGTTGCGGGTTCTGATCTGCGTGCCATCCACTAAGGGAGTCACCACCACACCCAAAGATGTCTAGGTGGCTCACCAGATATAGGGAAACAAACCTTAAGGAAAGGCAGTTTTTATGGCGTTTTGTAGTAAATTCTGTAAAATACCTTGGTTTGCAATTGTTTTAAAGA